TTGTGGTTTTTTCCACGTTAAATCGTTGTGTCTCTTTGTCTTGATTGTTTGATTGGGATTGTTATATTTTGCTTAAAATTGATACATAATCACAAATCAACATCTAGGGGATTTCTAGATTTTTCAGCTTCATATATTTGCTGTTTAATTTTTACTTTTATTGTGAGTTTCTACTTCAAAAAATTGTTTCAATTAGTGGTGTTGATGTTGAATTTGAGCTTGGATTTGAAAGATCTAAGATGGGTTGAAGTGGTTATTTGTACAGATAATAATAATAATAAATAAACAAAAAACTTACTGAATTTCAACCGATAAGAAAACACATGCTTGCTGAATTTAAACAGATAAGAAAAATAAGTTTGGTGAATTTCAAAAAATATTAAAATAAGTTTGGTGAATTTCAAAAAATATTAAAATAAGTTGGACAGATAAGAAAAGAATTTCAACAGATAGAATTTTTGAGGAGATAGGTTATATATAAAAGTTTTAATCTTTGACCAGTAAATGTTCTTATCACCAAATAAAAATTTCCCTATATCCTCTTTAAATTGGGGTTTTTACCACTTATCCCTTTATTTTATACATACTCAAAATTGCATGAAAATAATGAGATTTTTCAAAGGTTAAGGCAGCTAAAATACTATTTTATTTTATAATTACTGAAAATTGTATGAACATAATGAAAAATTTCAAAATTGTAGTGAGCCAAAGTAAAATTACTTAGATTTTGAAGTGGGTGAAGTAAAAATTATATAAATCTTGAAGGGGTTAAAATGCAAAATTCTTTTATAAATATTCAAAATTGCATGGTCAAAATAGGATTTTGGAATTGTTATAGTTTCTGCTCCTGTGTAATTTTGATTTGTTATTCTTAAGCTCTGTTCTAGTATGATAATTTGTTGCAAATTCATATATATATCCCCACCCTTTTAGCTGGGGTGTAGGATTATCAGGAATTGGATATATTCAGTATATTTTAGAAATTTTAGGTGACATCTTTGAGGTGGACACATTAAAGGACAAATAAAATAGTGATGGAAATCCTTGGAAATATGATTAATTCCTACTTTGGAGGAGCTTAAACAACCATAACCATAACAAAATAACTCTACCCATAGCATAGGTTGTGCTTACATGTATCATGTGGTAGGGAAGAGGAGACAGACTTAGGAACAACTTTGTTCTCGGTGCTATAATTACCCATGAGATTGATCCTATGTGATTGAGAACCTCTTTGTGGTGTTGAGAAGTAAAAGGGCCTATGAAGAGCCAAGTCCAATGCCTAAAATTCATGTAAGAAGAAAAGGACATGCGAAGACCTAAAGCTGAAGCAAACCATAACGGTTTGATAAATTCGCACATCAAGAAAATATGCTCTTGTCTTGGACTTAAATTAATTGATCGAATGAGACTTACAATCTTTACAGGAAGCTAACATTTACAAAACCACTCAAGTGCTCAACGGCTCAATCTCATATTACTTGGTCCATCAGATTTGATGTGTTAAGGCATCAGTAATTTTTATGTGGATAGTATCCTTGGCTCCTTTAATCCAGATACTCAATCTCATATTACTTGGTCTATCAAATTTGATGTGTTAAGGTGTCAGTAATTTTTGCATAGATAGCATCCTTGGTTCCATTAATCCAGATAATGTAAAATTGATCCATTCTTTTACATGCTTGATCAATTGAATGTGGTGTAGATTAACCATACTAGGTGAAATTTGATTTTTTATATGGTTTCTTTCTCTACCAGAATTTCCCTGTACTCCTTTTGGACTTGATTGAGATATATGGAAATTATGGAGCATTTAGGCTGGGCGTAAAAGTCAATTAACCCCATATCATTTCCTTATTTTTGAAGTGCATATTCATTATCTCGACTGAGGGCATAAGAGAAATGTCAAAGCTACTATAATAGATATTTGTTTTGTTGAGTTCATGACCATAGTAAGTTTCATCGGCTAGATTAGCTATTGGGCTTGGCTTTTAGAATCCATAGACTTGGTGATGTAGGAAAACTTGCTGGATTTTTAAACGGAGGCTATTTAAATGCCCAAACAGTGAGTAATTTAAATTGAAGGCTAATAGGAAGGGGAAGGGATTAGGGTTGATTTGGGGGTAACATAAGATAAGGTTTTGGGGCTGAAATGTACATTTTTAATGGGCTGATATGTTAAAACCTATCACTACCACCTACTACCACCTACTACACACCTACCACTACCACATACTACCACCTACTCCACCTACTACCTACCTACCTACTCTTCTCTTCTATATATAGGAATCATTGTAAACATATTCATACATCAATCAATAATACATCAATTTTAACATGGTATTAGAGCGAGGTTAAGCACTTAGTATTTTTCGCTTCACCGGCGGGCGGCAACCTCGCCTTGGCCGCCCGCTGGACCTCAACCTAGTCCGCTAGAATTTTCTACACATACCTTGAAATTTCTTCGAGTCCACCACCTTCACGCCCAACTCCTTCGAGTCGCTGTCCTTGACTCACCCAGTCAACCCAAACACACACATAGACGACACACAAGCTCTCTTTCTGCTATATCACACAGATACACATCCATGGGCAAGGGGGGGTGACTGATTATGCTGGCTCTCTCTTGACAGATTGGGTTAGGGAGAGGAAGACACTGATACACACACACGGCAGAAATCTCTCTCCCTCAGCTATCTTGCAGTACCACCACTTTTGCACCGAGCCACCACCACTGCCCCTCCTCTCACTGTTGTCCCCCCATACACCACCATCTCGGTCGTCTTCATCTACCACCACTGTTGACCTTAACCCATCGCTGCAGTCCCTTCAATCTGATCAACGGCTGGACACACACACACAATGCAAATCTCTCGTTCTCTCTCTGGAATACGCACACCATCCTCATGGTCATTCAGTAGACTCATCTGTATGAATGAAATGCTCTAGTAGTTGAAGCAAATGGGTTCTCAACAACGGCTGCAGAGTTTTCCAAGCATAGGAATTGAAAAAAAAAAAAAAAAAAAAAGGCACTTACAAGGGGAAGAAGTTTAATGCCATCTGCCACTTTTTTGGTTATCAAGATGGGTCATTTCTATGGGAAGCTGTGCAAATGGTGGTGGATATTACCATTACTCGTACTCTGTTGTTCGTGGTTGTGACAGGATTGTCCCAGTTGACATTTATGTTCCGGGTTGCCCGCCTACTGCCGAGGCCCTGCTTTACGGAATCCTCCAGCTGCAGAAGAAGATCAACAGGCGCAAGGATTTCCTTCATTGGTGGACCAAATGAGAACATTTTTACTTTATTCCCTGCCTGCTTTGTTTGCATACTTGTGGAAGAAGAATAAACCGGACTCTGCTAGCTTTTCTTAGGTAAAGTAACCATGTAAAGGATGAGACCTGTTTTAACCTCTTTGTATGTGAATGTTATTTCATATGAATATGTAAGGGACGATTTTCAGTGCTGCTTGGGCCAATTGCTTTAGGCTTGACTTGGAAAGTCGAGGAATAATTGCATTTGATGTAAACTTTTACACATCTGCTGTGTTTCACACGTCGTTTTTTTTTTTTTATATATATTTTAACCTCCAATTAGGGGGGTAGTTCCGGTTTTATTAGTTGGTTGAGTCACTGTTGCATAGATGGAAAAAAGTTGAAATCTGGGTTTTTTTGCTGTCACTTGGATCCCAAACAGATCTTCTCTTAGATTTCTTGTTTCCGGAACCTGCGAATTTTGGCTTTTGTGACTGAAAATCCGCTTGTTTGTGTGGGTCTTGCTGTAACTGGTTTGTCTGGAAATACAAGTAGGCATATTTTTTTACTATGATGCATTTCGTGTCATTGCATGCCCGCCTTGCTTCTATTTGTCTAGACATGATCCAAGCATGTTTAATGTGGTCCATGCCCGTGTGATTTAGCACATTTCAAGATGAAACATGGAGCTGATGCTTTCCTTTTTATGAATTTCTCAACCCTAATGCCAAGCCAAATATCATAATAGGTTCGTGTTATTGCCTCGTCAATTATGCAAATGCGTTGTGTTTGGTCTATTTGTGGTGTGGACTGTGTACTCAAATTGTGGTGCAATTCTCCAACAGGATTCAGAATTTCTGCTGGTTCAAGGTGATATCGGGCAAGGCATGAATTCTTTGTCCGAATTTTTCATGTCTCCATGTTCCAAGATTCCTTTTCACCTTCCGATCAGGTCAGGTAGACCTATCTTGTAGTAATAAAATGGACAAGGGTGGTTGCAGATAGAAGATCCAAGCTCTATGTTTGGCACCAATTCCACTGTCACCCATCATCGCATGCCATCTACCATTACCATTTCTACAGATGCTGCTGCTCAGCCACTACTCTGACTCCGGCTGCCATATGTAACCAAGGGGTAGGGAGATAAGGGTACTTGCACCCATTGACTTTTGAAAATTTACATTTTTATATACGTAGTTATATAGCAAAATTATTTTGCAAATTTGTCCCACTAAACAAAAACCTGAACTGACCCTAATTATAATCACCACTACCACTGGTATCTAATGCTAATTTTTTTGAATGTGCGTTTCAATTTTTTATTAGGTTAATTTATTTTGTTTCCACACATGACTTCAATGTATACTGATTGGCTTCAATATCCGTTTGCACTGCCATTTTTTGCTCCACAGACCGCATAGGAAAGTTTAACGGCGCAAAACCAGAGGCGCTTGGTTGCGGTTCAAGGGCCACCGCACCAGTTATTTCTCTTGTGGACTCGTTGAGGTCTGGAAAGAGAGTGAGCAGACCACGGGAAGAAGAGGCCATTTTCTGGGCAACTGAGTGTTACAGAGTATCTCTCTCAGAAAACGAAGAGTTTTTAAGAGGTTTTTCGCAAGTTTTTGTCTTAGCCTCAGCCTCAGCCTCAGCCTCCGTCTTGGTTAAATAGCCAAGGCCGACATGCGCATCGTGCGTCGCTCGGCGCTAGACGACAACATGGACGCGCAAGCCAAGGTAGTCCCGCGCATCGCCATAATGTCCGGCACACCTTTTTATGGATTGGGCACGCCTTTTGATGGCACGTCGTTTGAAAGATTGGACACACCTTTTGAGGGTGCAGCTTTCCAACGGTCCGACATGACCCCCTAAACTGTCCCAACATTTGATTCCGGTTAGCTTTTACAACGGTCCGGCATGACCCCATAAACTGTCCCGACATTGATTCCAGTCAGCTTTTACAACGGTCCGACATGACCCCCTAAACTGGTCCGACATTGATTCCGGTTAGCTCCTACAACGGTCTGCCACCACCATACAGTGTCTTCACCAACGGTCTGACACAACCACAGTGTCTCCTATCCTCTTTTATTTTATGTATTAGTATATTTTCTTGTTTTGTTACTCTCTCCAAACTCAAGTTGGTTAGTTCCTATCCCCTTGAGTTTGCAGGGGGCTGTTAAAACCTACCATTACCACCTACTACCACCTACTCCACCTACTACCTACCTACCTACTCTTCTCTTCTATGTATAGGAATCATTGTAAACATATTCATACATCAATCAATAATACATCAATTTTAACATGTGATTGATAACCCAAGAACAACAACTTGGGTATGAGCACAAAGAAGAAGAAAGAGAGGAAGTAGAAGAAGAAGAGGGAGAAAGAGGTGCTTCATCCTCGCAAGGGTTAGGCCAATCATACACAAACACAATATCAAATTCTCATAATATCAACTCTTCTATTGAATCATTAAGATTATACATATATTTATAGGCAAAGATTATCCTACTTCTACAAGGACTATGACTTATATTTGAAAACACATAATATTTGGCAATTGTTAATATTCTAGACCAACTAAGACTACGATTTCCAATTCCACTTCAATCTCATAATAGGGAAACTTTGATTACTTCTAAATTCTAGTTTTACTCCAACTTCAAAATAGAAGACTTGTTTGTTTTTGACCACTAAGATTATTGTAGACATAATAAAATTCATATATAATGACCTATTTAGTCAATCGATCAATAATAACCCAAATAGCATTGTTACCACATTGGGTCCTAGGTAACCCTGTCACAAAATCCATAGTAATATATTCCCACTTCCACTCGGGAATAGAAAAAGGTTGTAACTTACCTGTAGGTCTCTGATGTTCAACTTTCACTTGTTGACATACCATACATTGAGCAACATACTGAGCAATTTCTCTCTTCATATTATTCCACCAAAAGTTCCTCTTCAAATCTTTATACATTTTAGTACTCCCTGGATGTACAGTATACCCTGAACTGTGAGCTTCTCTCAGGATTTCTCTCTTGAGCTCTAAATCATTAGGCACACACAACCTCTCTCCAAATCTCAAGGTTCCATCTTTATGTATACAAATTCCATCTGTAGCCCTATTTCCATTTAAGCCTTAAGTTTTTGCAACTGAGGATCTCTTCCCTGAGCATCTTTAATTCTATCAATCAATGTGGGTTGAACTCTAAGGTTTGCCAACTGCACTCCATGGCTATGCCATCTAATCTCAATATTCAACCTCTGCAAGTCTTCCAAGATATTCTTTTGGTCAGTGAACAAGGTAGCCAAATTACTCGGGGTCTTTCTACTCAAGGCATCCGCCACTACATTGGCTTTTCCTGGATGATAATTAATAGTCAAACCATAGTCATTTAATAGCTCCAACCATCGCCCTTGCCTCATGTTCAATTCTTTTTGAGTGAAAATATACTTCAAACTTTTATGATCAGTGAATATCTCACATTTCATCCCATACAGGTAGTGCCTCCAGATTTTCAATGCAAACACCACGGCAGCCAACTCCAAATCATGCGTAGGATAATTCTGCTCATATGGCTTCAACTGCCTAGACGCATATGCCACTACCTTATCATTCTGCATCAGGACACAACCCAAGCTCATCTTCGATGCATCACTATAGATGGTAAAACCTTCATCTCCGGACAAAACTATAAGTACTGGAGCACACACCAATTGACTCTTTAGATCTTGGAAACTCTTCTCACAATCATCAGACCACTCAAATTTAACTCCTTTTTGTGTTAAACGAGTCAAAGGCATAGAAATTCGGGAAAATCCCTCAACAAACCTTCTATAATATCCTGCTAAACCCAAGAAGCTACGAATTTCAGTGATACTAGTAGGCCGATTCCACTCCACCACCGCCTCCACTTTCTTGGGGTCAACAGACACCCCATCTTCAGATATCACATGACCCAAAAATGATACACTTTCCAACCAAAATTCACACTTCTTCAATTTAGCAAATAAATTCTTCTCCCTTAATATCTGCAACACTATTCTCAGATGTTCTTCGTGCTGCTCTTTACTCTTCGAGTACACAAGAATGTCATAAATAAAAATTACCATAAACTGATCTAAGAAGGGTTGAAATACTTTGTTCATTAAATCCATAAAAGCTGCAGGCGCATTGGTCAACCCAAACGACATCACTAAAAATTCATAATGCCCATATCTAGTTCAGAAGGCTGTCTTAGGTATATCTTCTGCCTTAACCTTCAACTGGTGATAGCCAGAACGAAGGTCAATCTTAGAAAAAACTTGTGCTCATTGCAACTGATCAAACAGGTCATTTATCCTAGACAAAGGATGTTTATTTCGAATTATCACCTTGTTTAACTCTCGATAATCAAAGCAAAGGCGAAAACTACCATTATTCTTTTTCACAAATAAAACAGGCGCACCCCAAGGAAAAACGCTAGGCCTAATAAAGTCCTTATCTAGTAACTCTTGTAATTGTTCCTTCAACTCTTTCAACACTGCTGGGCCATTCGATACGGAGCCCTAGAGATAGGACCCGTGCCGGGTATCAATTCGATGACAAACTCAATCTCTCTATCTAGTGGCAACCTCAGTAACTCTTCAGGAAAAACATCGTGAAATTCCTTCACAACTAGAATATCCTCTAACTTCAATTCAGTCTCACGGGTATCTCTCACATAAGCTAAATAACCCTCGCAACAATTCCTCAACAATCGTCTAGCTTGCAAAGCTGAGATTACCAAAGGAGGAGTGTTAACTCCACTACCCACAAAACAAAATTCTGGTTGATCAGGAAATTAAAATACTACCCTTTTGCCTCGGCAATCAACAAAAGCATAATTGGTTGCCAACCAATCCATTCCAAGAATTATGTCAAAGTCCCACATATCTAAAACAGTCTAGTCTACAAGCAATCTCCTGCTATCTATACTAACCACACGAGATTTGCCAATGTCTCCTCATGTTCCACTGCAACCTATATGCATCAATAATAAAACCTCATCTTATTCTATTCTCAAGTCCCTATAACATGTAAATAAAATTAACATTATATCAAATTATAAGCGTTCCCAATGCTACATCTACCCAATCTCACCACTATTTTATACCAGCCTTTAAAATTATAACCTGGCTCTGATACCATAAAATTGTCACGCCCCAAGCTCCGTGACAACGCCGTACACTCATTTAAGTGAGCATGCAAGGCTAAGAGTCCAACACATAACCAACAATATAAAATGCTCCAATTAAATCCTTAATGTCATAATGCTAAAATCTATAAAAATTGATTATTCTTATCATATGAAATTATCAACCAAGTCCACTAATAAAATCCATTAACAAAACAATAATCCAAGTACTTAAATCATAGTCCTACTCTCGGCACTCCCACATGTAAAAATAATCTCGCGCAACTCTACTCTTCAGAATCTGAAAAAAAAATAAGAGTAAGCTAGATAGCCCAGTAAATAACCAACCATCACTGCTAGCTGGATCAAGTATACAAAAAAAATAGATTAATAAATAGTCGATAACCAATAAATTTAATTTTTGCTACAATTCAATAAATGAACAATTATTTGTAAGATGGTTTCATAGCTAAAAATAAACAATGTACAATACATTTTAAATGAAAAGCCAACAAGATAATTCAAAGTAAATTCGTCGTTCAAATCGATGGTTCATGATTTGACTCACAAAACTCAAGTCTTGGTGACTACGGTCACTTAGCCCGTGACAAGGCCTAGAACCACACATAGGCCGGTGGTAAAGCCCCAAAAGAAACTAGTTTCTATGCCAATAATAACCCCCATTGGCTAGGGTCCAAATCATAGTCAGACTAGAGTGATGTTCAAAATTCAAACAATACACAACTTTTAAATAAAACATTTGATATTTTCAGAATAAACGTTTAGTACAATTTTCAGAATAGTTTCACCAAATATTCAAATAATTTTCATAATAATATTCGATGTTGTTTTATACTTGACCCATATTTTATTTTAAGAGAACATGAAGGCTATAAATAAATATTTATGATTTTAAACGATTCGATAGGAATAAAAAAAAATGAACCAACTGTGATAGAGCGTTACTTACCTTAAACAGCTAAAATAATATTTCCCAAGCTAATCTCAAATTACCAAGATCCACCTCAATCTCACAAACCTAATAAAATATTACACCGCATAAACAATTATTATGTGCACCCATCCATCTCTTCTTGTAACAACAATAGAATAAATTATCCCAATAGTCTATTAGGAACTCCCACGATTTAGCATCAAAACAAAGCCATCACGGCTTCAGAAATTCTCAAGCCATATTATTCTATTGTTGTTTATATACATGTAAAAATTTGTAATTGCTTGTAGTCAATCGTGTATCCCACAAATACACCACCATTAAACTTAACCCATCACATATCAATCTCAAAATATGAACCACCCAAACGGGATGCAAAATACACTCTAAAATTGAGCAAAATCGAGACCCCCAACATAGTCTACATCAATATATCTATTTAATCATATATGCCCATAAAATCATCTATTGATATATTAACACCAAAATCATAGATAAGAATACAATAAAATAAATCTTACCTTAAGTGATGAATAAAGAAAAATCACCACTCTATGAATCCTCCTTCTTCACTTTGGTTTTGTTTTGTTTTCTTTAATTTTTCTTTTACCTTCTCAAACCCTAGCCGCCTATGGAGCAATTCACAGCCTCTATTTTGTTTGTTTCCCAAGACTTAGGTGGGCCTATTAACCTAATTTCTCAAAGTTACAAAATTACCTATCTAAGTAATAGAAAATATAATGCCATCTCACAACTAATTCTTTGATATTAATAAATGACCCATATAAATTAATTTAATTACTAATCTATCCAATAAAATAATCCTACACACAACTTGGGTTTTACATTCTTCCCCTCTTAAAAGAAATTTCGTCCTCGAAATTTGACATACCTGTAGTCTCAAAAAGTTGTGGATACTTTTGTCTCATTTCATCCTCAAGTTCCCAAGTAGCTTCTTTCTCCGAGTGATTGCTCCATTGAACCTTAACGTAGTGGATGACTCGACGCCTCAAAACCTGCTCCTTATCAACAATTCTTACAGGGTGTTCCTCATAGGTCAAATCCTCCTTAAACTGTAACGGTGCATGATCAATCACATGATTAGGATTCGGTATATACTTCCTCAACATCGAAACATGGAAGACATTATGAACTACAACTAGTGAAGGTGGTAGGGCAAGTCTGTAAGCTACTTCACCAATTCGATCTGAAACCTCAAATGGCCCAACAAATCTACGACTCAATTTACCACGAACACCAAACCTTATTACTCCTTTCATAGGAGACACCTTAAGGAACACATGGTCTCCAAACCCAAACACCAAATTGTGTCTCTTGTTATCTGCATAACTTTTCTTTCTACTCTGTCTCGTGCAAAGTCGCTCTCTAATAAGATTGATCTTGTCCACTATTTGTTGCACAATCTCAGGCCCTAATAACTTTCTTTTACCCACATCATCCCAACAAACAGGTGATCTACACTTTCGTCCATATAAAGCCTCATATGGTGCCATCTGAGTGCTCGCATGATAACTATTATTATAAGAGAATTCCACTACGGCCAAATGCTCATCCCAAGAACCTCCAAGATCAATAATACAGGCCTTCAACATGTCTTCAACAGTCTGAATAGTTCTCTTTGACTATCCATTAGTTTGAGGATGAAAGGCCGTGCTAAAATTCAAACTAGTGCCCAAAGCTGTATGCAAACTCCTCCAAAACATAGATACAAATTTGCTATCTCTATCAGACACTATGGTCATCGCAATACCATGCAACTTCACAATCTCCTTGATATACAATTTTGCAAACCTCTCTAAGGAGAACCCTAATGCCGCACACTCATTTAAGTGAGCAGATTTAGTCAATCGATCAATAATAAACCAAATAGCATTGTTACCACCTTGGGTCCTAGGTAACCCTGTCACAAAATCCATAGTAATATGTTCCCACTTCCACTTGGAAATAGAAAAAGGTTGTAACTTACATGTAGGTCTCTGATGTTCAACTTTCACTTGTTGACATACCATACATTAAGCAACATACTGAGCAATTTCCCTCTTCATATTATTCCACCAAAAGTTCTTCTTCAAATCTTTATACATTTTAGTGCTCCCTGGATGTACAGTATACCCTGAACTGTGAACTTCTCTCAGGATTTCTCTCTTGAGCTCTAAATCATTAGGCACACACAACCTCTCTCCAAATCTCAAGGTTCCATCTTTATGCATACAAATTCCTTTCCAAATTCTCTAACCAAACACAACCTAAAGATGTCACGTGGTGAGTGTAAAGTTGTGCAGATTCGTGATTCATTTATGAAACTTTCATGAATCTTGTCTACAGTTAACCCCTTGGGGGAAAAAAAAAAACAACGTTAAAAAATATCAATAGGTGAAAAGAAATAACTTGTTTATGCTTTGGTTGGAGGAGATAGCAGTAAAAATGAAGACACCATTGACCACCATACACATGGGGTTGATTGGGCTCAGAATGTGGGATGTTTGTTTGCACATTTGGAAGAGCTTTGGATGTTTGCAAGTTAATCCACAATCTGCCCAGGTAATCACCTATCCCTTGAAGTTATATAAATGTGGTAAGAAATCTTAACATTGTGTTTGGTTAGGGGATTTGGAAAGGGAAAAGTGAAATGTAAGTAAAATATATCTACATTTCACCTAATTTCACACACTTTTTCCCTTTCTTTTTCCAAACCTTTCCCAAATTCCCTAACTAAACACAGCATAAGTCTGTCTTACATTATCCTGCAAGTGAAACAAAGCTGTATTTTTTACCCTTCCTACAGGTTTAGAAGCTGGAATTGTTGGGTTCTGCAGTCATCAGTGCTTAGAACCACCATTATGCGTCAATGTTGCTTGGAAGGTAGCTCCAATTCTTTGTGGTTGGTTCTTTGATGGCTCTGAGTTGATGTTAGAAATCAGAGATTCAGATCTGACTCAACATAGCCTTCTTAATCACCAGAGGTATACTTTGAAGCGTTTAAAATAAATAAATAAATAAAATTGTAATGCTATGGTCTTCCATTCTTTTAACTTCTATTGTTCTACTTGTAGTTTTTTCTTTCTTTCTTATTTTTCGAGGCTATTGCTTCTTCTTAGGTCATAGAGTTCATTAAAAGTCATTTGGCAATCTCGTTTGACCCATTTTTTCAGTTGTAATCCTATTTTAGTTTGAAGTGTTTCTGGCACAGTTCATGTAATTGTATATTTGTGTGAATCCTTCTCATGCTTATAAGTTGAAAGTAAGTCAGAGCATCCGAACTGTAGTTGACAGGCCCACTTAGTTTAAACAGACAAAAATCCAGAGTTCACCACTCGAGCAGTGGTCTAGTGGTGAAATCACTGTTTCTAGGTTTCGGACCCTACTGAGTATAGAGAATGTCCATTCTCCGCTCGAGCAGTGAAGTGATAGCTCTAGCAGTCTAGGTTGGCAAAGTTAGTTAAAAAAAGTCTGAATCTTCATCATTTCCAAATCGTTGCTCTCTCTAGGAGTGTGAAACTGCTTCAGAACTCTAGTGAGAGAATTACACATTTCTTGATGCAGAATTTTGAGATCTATGAGTCCTTGAGCATCGATTGATCATCTTCAATATTTCATTTCATCATTTCTCATCTATGGAGAAGTCCGGTGGATTCCAAAAGGCATTTGTGAAGTTCCCTGGTAGATTCTTAAGGCAGTGATCATGTCGTGGATTTGGCACCTTGAAGATCGATTCAGGGATAGCAATGAATGTGGATTTGACAAGAGCGACTTATCTCCATGTGTGGATTCACCAAGGATTGTAAGAAAATCTTGTAATTGCTCATTTTGAATTAGTGAATTGATTTTCAGGCTTTGAGTTTGTAGTTTTTCATCTCAAATTTACCATGTTAAAATCACACGCCACTCTAGTTGTTTTTGAATTAGTTGATTACATGCTCAGGCTAGCTATGGCTTTTGATCATTTGGTTAATGGATTTGTCAATTGGTTGAATTGGCAATCGAGTGTTTGACAAATTGCCTAGTAGATCCATAATTGTTGAATCTATCTCCACAAGGGAAATTTAGTTGTGACTTGGAACTTTTTAACTTTGTACCATGGATCTTACATTGCGATTTACAAAATAAACGATTCAAATTATTAAAATAAGATAGCTTGTCGCTAAATTATTTCAGGTCTCGATTAACGGAGACTCGTGCCAAAAGCCACTTATTCGTTATCACCAAAGTGTCTCGGCTCAGGAACTTAGGTACGAGAGAGGAATGTCATAAATTGAGCACCCCATTTGCCCGATCAAAGATTGACCTCTACTAATCATGATGTAATTTTTATTTATGTTATATGCTTTTGTTCTGATTTTATTAGGCTAACTTACTATGTGATGCACAAACAAGTATAGACTATTTTGCCAAAAATTGGAACATTTGATTTCATGTTTGTTTTTGAAAAGAGTTTGTGAATATGCCACTTGAAAAAGTAGGCTTAAAATGTACATTAATCAAACTATCCCAATTCAAGTAACTAGCCTTCATTCACAGGCATTCAAACAGTTATATCATTTAAAAGCAATTAGCCTCATGGAAGTATGCTTGGCATGGCAACACAAACATTTGATGCAAGATATTAAAACTCAAAATTGCTCACCTAGTACTCCGAGTCAAAACAAAACAAAATAATTAGAAAAATATGCGTGCTCCTAATTAATGCAATATGACTAAATGCAACGCACACATTATATAATTTATAGGCTCGGCTATGAGCATGGCATATGATTCCATTCAAGACACGCGATAAAGCATGTATTCAAGCAATGAATTTGAATATTGATATTGGGTTAGTATGATGAGTCGAACCTTGGATGCATGCAGGACAATGGATGCAAAGCATAAGAATGCTAAGTTGAAAAATGATGTTCTATACTAACTATCATAAGCAAGTAAGTAAAAGGGAAAAAGACGTAGGGTTGGAAGACATACAACTTATTACATGTTGGCCCTCGTGCAAGAGGGTGCGAATCAAAGTCAGAAAGTCTGAATTAAACTAATTATTACAAAATCGAATGAATAAATAAGTAAAGAATTAACTAGCTAGCTACTCTATTACAATAAGGATAATAATGAGAAATAAACTAGCTATCTAAGTTAACTAACTATAACAATTACAAATAAACAATACTAATTACAACAAGACTAATTGTAACTATAATAATAATTAATTACAACAATACTTGGAGCATTAATTTACAACATTGATGCAAGTGAGGACGCACAAGGGTTGCATGCACAATGTCTAAGAATTGCTCTGTTTGCCTAGGTTTGCTCTGTTTCACCTTCAGCCACTGTCCTTTGTTTTCTGCAAAACACAGTGCTAACCAAACATTGATGGTCGGCCAGCCCCCAATGAAGCCCAACCGGGCCTAAATAAGGTCGGTTGTGTCTTAATTTTATGCCAAATCCTGTTTTGTGCTCTGAAGTAAAAATAGTGCACACAGAGTTATTCTGAACCCTGTTTGTCCCTCTCACACTTCTCTGTCATAGGAAAGCCTCAAGAGAAGGTTGGAATCGTTTCCAAAACCATCAATGAGCAATTTGTTTGCTTGATGATTTCGGCCACAATTTGGACAAACTTCAATGAATGCAATGAATAATAACCATCCTCCCTTTATTATAGGATGAGCTCAAAAGGGAGGAGGGGGCAATTAAAGACGCTTCAAGGGTTGTCAAAACACTATGAATTGACGTGTGACGACTCTTGACACAATAGACTCGGTATAACGTCTGGCTTCAAGGGCTGTCAAAACACTATGAATTGACGTGTGACGACTCTTGACACAATAGACTCGGCATAACGTCTGGCCGAGCTCAAGCAGTATAACTCATTTTTTTTTTATGTGGGTTGGTTCATTTTAAGCCAAATTCATTTGTCTTTTCCATTCTTTAACCCATTTATCCAAGATGATTGTTACGTCCACTAAATGAGAAACATGTCAAACGTGAAGTGATTCTTAACATGAAAAAGAGACTATGCCGTTGACAATGAACTTCTGTAGAAATTAAGCCATTAAGCATAGATCTCTAGTTCATATTTTGAATAACCGTCAACCGATTGAAACAACTCTCAAATGAAAGAAATGAATGATAAGTTGATTATAAAAATGAGGCTCATAAACAAGGAAACTAGACAAAGAAAGGCCAAGAACAATATGTAACAAGTTATGTATAAGGACTTGTGAGGCAACAAGCAAACTAATCAAAGCATGAATTAATTAAACAACCTAGGACAGCCCTAAAATAGCCTCCAATTGGTGAAAAATAGTGGCTCAAAATGCATGAAAAGAGCCTAAAAAGCTAAATAACAAAGAAGGAAAATAAGGCTAATGAGCAAGAACAAGGAGGGGCTTCACTTTTGAAACCTCAAAGCATGATTTTTAGCCTATTTTAAACTCTGAAAATCAATTTAGAAAGCAAAGAAAAAGAGTGTAAAAGCAAGGGTTTGAGCTATAGGTGAAGGTGTAAGAAAGAGTAGATGAAGGTGTAAAAAAGAGTGTTAATTCTCTCTACCCTTTGGTAGCTCTCTAAACCCAAACTTAAACACTTAAAGGAAGATCAAAACAATACAAAAATACAAGAACTTGATAGTAAATGATAGAAATGAGAGCAAGAGAAGAGATAGTAAGCTTATACCTCTCAAGAAAAGTAAGCTTTTTGTTGTGAATCAAACTAAGTCCACATACACTCTCAAGCTTGAATTGTGATGCTCAAGGCTCAACCAAGGTTCTTAGGCTAAGGTGTGAAGGTGTATATGGTGTATGGATATAGGTTCAAGGTGGTAAGCTTGCTCAAAGGGTTGTTTGCACAAGAAGAAGGAGCTTTCAAGAAGATGTATAGGCTTTTTAGAAATTCTTCAACCCTCAAAACAGAGATACAACTTTGTGTTTTATAGAATTTGAGTAAGAGGGGTCATAAATATCTTCAAAAATGGATAGCTGGCAGGCTCCCGCCCAGAACAGTGTTTCTCGCTACTAAGGCACGGTCGGCCATCAATAGCCATGGCCGGTCCTCAATGAGGCACGGCCGGGCCTCAAAGGGATCCCCTGTTTCCCTGCTTCAGACTCAACACAGGGTGGTACAATGTGTAAAAATGGATTTCTGGGGTATGTTTCGGAGCTGAAACATTGCCCTTTCGTTGAGACCTCGAACTACGTACAATACCACTCTCATCATCGAGTGTATCGGGCAAAGCGCTCGAGCCTTGCGGGCAGTCAAAAATGAGGTGTCTACAAGTACTAACGTGGAGTACTTGAATTCAAATTCCAACATATTAACTAATCTAAACAAAAATTCCAACATGTTAAAAATGATTATAACACCTAATCATAATATCTAAGATTCCACTTAAACACGGTGTTTCAGCAATAGTGCAGTGATTGCAATATGTAACTAATCATATTCCAACTCTTAAACATGATTTTGAGTTTATAAAGTTCAATTTCAGAAATAAGACACTTTGCTAGCCTCTAAACACCAAATACAACACTTGGGAATATTTAATTCAGCAAATATTATCAATTTCTAGAAAATACAATCAAAGGGTCAATTTTTGAACATCAAATTGAGCATCAACCTCTACTATAAAGATTTAATGATGATAAGAAAAATGAAGGGCAGAATACTTCCATCATTGACCCATCTCAATAATTGACAAACATATGGGTAGACTGCGTATAAGTATATAAAAAATCATATAAATTTTTATAAAAATACGTAAGTTAATTTATAAAAATTTTAAAAATCACAATTTACGTATATTTGTGAAAACTTACATAATTTTGTGAGGTAATTAATGTATATTTGTGATAGTTTATGTAAATATATATGGTATGCACCTTGCACACCCAAATGCTTCCCAAAAGTTTGCAAAAAATTATGCATGGTTATGAGAATAAAAATGGGAGATTTGATTAAAACCTCCTCATAATAAAACTTTAATGCATTAACGATAAGTACAAAAAGTTTTTCTTGAAAATTTTAACATATATCGCTATTATCAAAATATTAAACTTTAAAATAATATAACTTTCGATATAAATGTCGGTTTTTAAGAAAATTAGTATTTTTAGAATCCTCTCATTAAGATTTATCAAATAAGATTCATATTGCCTATGAAATTCTTAAAAAAAAAAAAATTATTACCATTGAAAGTGATATAAATCGTAACAATAACATATTACTCAGTTTGACAGTAATATATTAATCTGTTTGACAGTTATTCTGTTTGCCAGTAACATATTACTCCGGTTCACAGTAACATGTTACTCCAACAATATTATCTAAAGGGGAAAAAAAAAAAAAAAAGACATTTACTTTGTTTTTATTCAATTATATATTTTTTCCTTAAGAAATTTATGAAGCAAAATAAATTAAGTTGTTCTTTTTACCAAATAAAAATTTAATAGAAAGATTTTAGCTAAATTTTTCAATAAAAAAAGTTACTTTTTTTGTAACACCAACAAAAGTAACTTAGCTCATCAAGACCTAAATCCTAGATATTAAAATCATATATACTTGCCATTGTCAATACAACTCTTTACATATCCAATCAAGTAAGAGTCAATCCACAATGATAGGTCCTTTAACGAGAATCAAAACCCAGGCATTAAAAAAAAAAAAAAAAAAGGAGTATATTTACAACTCAATA